ACTCCTGATCACGAGATTCGTCTGGGTGGGCGAATGCAGCCCTCAAATAACTAATCGTAAGTCTTAAAGAATGGCGACTAACAATAAGACCTCACTTGTACCCCCCAAGACTTCGATTTACAGCGGGAAACTGCCTTTCGTCACCACTCTCCAGGATCACGTGTACCATCCGAAGCCTGACACTCAGGATGGCACAAATGACCCGGCTGAGAAGAACCAGCAGTCCCCGCCATAAATCTAGCCCTAATGTAAACTCTGACAGAAGCGGAAGAGACGCCTAAATCGCATGACGTCTGCAGATATTTTTTAGGATATTTCAAATACTAACAATCTAACAGAAAATCTAATCATATCACATGATAGAGAAACATTTTTGCTAAGTATAACATTAAAGTATGGTATAATATTATCTTTGTACTTTAAGATTTAAGTCTGATAATTTGGCATGCAAGGAAGGAACATAATCGCAAAACGTACACGACAATCAAGTCGTCAGCATTGAGAAGTATGTACTGCTTCTGTTTGTCGTATACGTTTTGCGATTATGTTTCTTCTTTCTACGCCAAATTATCAGATTCCGAGAGATAAGGGTGTTTGGGCACTCGAGGCAGTCGGATCGAGTGAGGTGTGAATGAAAAGTGTTTAGGTCGTATGACAGTCGGATCGAGTGAGGTGTGAATAAAGAGTGTTTGGACTGAATGACAGTTCTTCACAATGAGAGTACATGTGTGTACGAATCGGTGATCGAATGTGACCGTGTGTGAGTGAATTTAAGAAACCAAGAGCGTCGTGAGGGTGGAAGAAAAAAGTACAGTAAACGGTGGATACAGGATTGCCTCCAAATAAGCAAGTGGCTCGGGACCGAACAGTTGCTTATTTCGAAGCAGGTATGCTATTCGGCTTGACTTTGTTCTCGAAACGGGACAATAGAGAACGCGAGAAGTGAGTGAGAGATCTGAGGTAGCGGCAAATCATAAAGTGATCGACCGAGCAGCGATGTTATTTTTTGAACAAGGATAGAATATAGCATGCCCTCTCATTCTCACACTATGCGTTTCCGAAGGCATGTAGAATCACATGAACGAAACATGCTTCAATTTACTAATTGTATATTAGTACACATCTGTGTACGAATGTTATATAATTATTGCTGTTCCAGTTAATAGGTTTTAAATAATACACAGGACATGTAATTACAAATATTCAAAATGTTCCCTAAATTATTGATATACATAAATGGATATATAATATACGAAAAGATGTTTTAAATGCCACTCTTGAAGAAATAAAGAAAATTGAAATATGTTATAAAACTCTTTTTTACTGGCGCATCGATAAGGAGTTTTGTATATTTTGTATATTGTATATTGCCTTATATGCAGCCAAGGCGTCAATTCTATGTTGTTTATTCTATTATTATTGTTTATTTCTTCTATTATTATTGTTCGCTTGTAAATTACTTTAATTTTCAATAGGAAGAAACTGTCCGGTTTTATGGAAATCACGGGTTTTTCCTAACATCATAAAACACGTATTTTGCAGTCAATAGTTCCGCAGCTTACAAATATTCTGAACTGAACCGTGGTAATAATAAGTTTATGAAGCCATCGACCAGTTTACTACTTTCCTAGAAATATTTTCGTGTTGATTGTCTATTTCTATTGCCTCGGGATTAGTATGTTTCATTTTGGGGTTCTTTATTCTCAATATGTTTTGTCAGAGTCAAAACGCTTACTCAGTTTATTGCCCGCCACGGTCACTTTGCAACCACCTGGAATTTCCTCAACGTCACAGGGGTAGTATCGGTACCTGAGACTGCCGTTAGGCCGCGTTCAGACTATGCAATAAACTTGTACAACTTTTCGTGCAACTGAGGGTCCGGATTTCTGTGTTTGTGGCCGTGCCTGTACCACGTATGCCGTCCGAAAAAGGAAATGGTTTTCTCTTGTAGAAATACCAACTTTCGCATTTTTTATCACATCTTTGCGAAAGCGATGTCAATCAATTCCTTATGTTTTTCTGATTAAAATGATACCAAACGCGACATAAGTTGGACAATAATTAACCAAGTTACGTGAAAAATCTAAATGCATAATTAAAAGCCAGTTTCGTTAAAAGTAGTCCGGTTTACGTGATATGAGGTATCATTTTAATCGGGAGAACACCAGCAATCCATTAGTACCACTTTCATACCGATGCGGTGAAAAATAAAGAATTTCATATTTTGAAAAATTGATGCGGTCGGTCGATTCGACCTTAGTCGAAGGCGGTGACTTTCATACCACCACTGGCAAATATGTTTGGTAACTTGGCTCCAATGCATCGTACAAAGATGGTCCGACTCTTCGTCGTTTTTACGACGTAAATCGGATCATATTTACGTTATCTAATAAATACATAATGAATCACGTAGAGTAAATCATAATGTAACCCATAATGAATTATGTACAGTAAATATGGTTCAAATTATATCGTGTTTGGACACATTTTCATCGGAAGAATGTCAGGTATCCATTGGTGCTACAATTATAAAGATAAGACGAAAATGACTGAAAATAAAATTTTCTTTGCTACGTGTTTACTTTTTCCAGTCGCGGCATCTATTTGATGTGCGTCTGTCTTCTTTCTTTGCATTGAATTAATGTTTTGTGCTTGTCTACTGAAATCAGCTTTAACCAAGCTAAGGAGAGGACACGTTTCATCAATTTTAGGCCAAAAATTCAGGTCAATTAAAGAAAAAAAAAATATCGATAGCGACACTCGAACCAGCAACGTACTAATTACCATTATTTCACGTTACGCCGTCAACCACTTCGAGCGTTCTTCATTTTTTAACGCAAACTGTTTATAACGGAGTACAGCGATTATTATGCAATTTTAATGCAATTTTCTTGGAAAATCTTGAGAAGCGCACGCTACTGCTTTGCCAAATTAAACGGTATAGCCGGGTAAGGTAGGCAAAATGGACCTTCAACCAAATTCAATTCAGAATGCGTCATTCGATAGCATATTAAAAGAAAATACTGTACACCAATTTTCATCCCCCTGGGGGGTTAACCAGGGGGGCAGTGATGGAGGCCAAAAGAAATGCCAGATCGTGCCCCATTTCCCCTATTTAATAACATCCGAAAATTTTGAAAAAATTCTGATACACTACAAACACGGTAACGCATTTTAGGGAATTTTTTAAGATTTTTTCATTGCAAATTGTAGTTGTAAAAGATGAAAAACCAAAAAACAATCTGAAGAAACGCGATTTGTTATTGAAAATGTAAGAGCACTACTTTTATATTACTGTGGTAATAACATATTAGTATAATTATTACTCTTGAATTTTTTCAGATTTTTTGATGTGGTGCAACGTAGTTAAAAAAATAAAAAACCAATTATTTCGAATGAAAAAGTAACTTTTACTTCGAATTTTTATTTGCTGTTTTTGTAGAATATGTATTAAGTACATATTGAATCAATTTAAAAGTTATAACTAATTGAAATCTCTGAAAATCGCGACTTTTCAGCTAAGATCGTGACTAGTTCCGTTCTTAGATGAAAAGTCGCGATTTTCGGAGATTTCAATTACTTATAACTTTTAAATGCGTTGACCGATCTTAATGAATTTTTCAGGATACACATAACATATTTGAATTTACAAATGTCATATTTACAATTTTCCTTACAGGTTCAGATAAAACAGTTCAAAAGTTGCCTTTTACTATTTCTTAACCGATTTCGGCACATTTTAATTTTTAAAAACGACAAAGGCACATATCTTAGTAAATTAATTTTTATAGCTTCTCGAGAAACCTGAAGTCATTTGCTCCAGTTTTGAGCGAGGTATTCTGTTTTAAAAGGTGGACGAATACTTTTGCGGTCCACTGTACATAGATAATCCAAATTTTATTTTAACCCTGCAAGTTATCATACTTAAATAAAAAATAAAAATATTATTCACATTGTTCTCTTTTATCAATTAACCAATAACAACAATAAACCACCTTACGATATCCTACCAATTCCGCTCATCCCTTTAAAAAGTGTGAAATAAAATAATTTCTATCAATAAAATACAACCAACTTCGAGATGCACTAAAAAGTATAAAATGATTTCTATTTCGTTTCCACAATTACGTGACAATTATTAATAAAACCTCTTTCTACATTAACAAAATGCACTAAAAAGTATAAAATATAAAATAATTATTAATTACCAAGTTCGCCATACCGCGATCAAATCGTTATTGGCAGCATCATTTATTCAACTATTTTTAATTTTGCACCTCCTCCGAAAAGATTGAAATGTATTTAGTATACTATTTAACGATTAAATAGGTTTTATTATTAACAGTTCTGAGATGTTGGTATAAATGAAATACAAATTATTACATTAGGAAATAGAAAGTATTTCATATTATTTACTGTATTTGGAACTCGGTTGTACTTTTGTTACAAATTATTTTATTTCAGTTTATTTATTATTCCAGTACCCACACCTATGTGATGTACGATTCTTCTTCGAGCATACCTCTCGCTGTTGTTTCGAGATTAGAAAAGACCAAATATATTTAATTTCGTCACATTTCCACTATGGTCGACAATACAGAGACTCATTACATAAATATAATTACATAAATACCCACACAATTAAATTTGTACAAATTTTAGAACTCAAAAAAGTATGGGTCTTAGGAATATAAATAATCGCCTACAACTTTTAAACTATTTAACTATACCTGTTTTCACGAGAGAGCATAACTGCGAAACGACCAGTTTTCGTTCTTTCGTGCGCATCTTCGCCCTGATGGGTCATACTCCCACTCCCATACGCTTGCGCACAGCGTCGCTGAGGCGCCTCCACGCGGTGCATCTACGCGAAAGCGCATCATTTGGAGTGTGTATCGGGTAGCAACAGCATCTTTTGTCGTATATTTTGTATTTCATATTTCTTATTTTATTGTATTGGGTTTATTTTATATTTTTTATTTTATTGTATTGGGTTTATTTTCTATTTTCTATTTCTTATTTAATCGTATTGTGTTTATTTTATATTTTCTATTTCTTATTTAATCGTATTGTGTTCATTTTCTATTTTCTATTGTCTACCGAGTCTCCACCAAGGAGAAATCCTTCGGGAAGGTAAGCTCGCGTTATGAATATATATAATATATGTGGTTTAGTCATGTGTACAGAACTGTTCTTTTTGTAGTTCGTTGGATCTGGCCAACGAATGATGATCATTAATTTGTACAAAAATTTGAAGATGGAACACCCAGAATTGAGGTATGTAAAAGTATTGGTAGACATAGACATAAATACCCATAATCCAGCGTAATAATTTTTTTCTTTCTGCCGCCCTTACAGGTATAGGCTCCTCGTGAAATTAATTTCGCAAAAACTTGGAATTGGAGAACTGACAATTTCCAAAACTATCGCCGAGTTTAAAGCCACGGAAGATGTGAGCTCGCCCAATAAGAGAAAAATACGCTGCAATGTTTTAGAAAAAACGTCGGAGAGCGATATTCTTGTGATACGCAGGAAGGTGCACGAATTTTGGTTAAACAAGGAAATTCCGAACGTGAGGAAAATTTTAACTCGCGTAAATGAAGACGCGAATTTACCACCCTTCACATACTCGTCTCTATACCGGCTGTTGAAACGGATGGAGTTTAAATATATTGTTCGTGGGCGCAATAGCGCCATGATTGATAAGGAGTACATGGTGTCGTGGCGCCAAAAATATGTACATGCAATACAAAACTATGTATAGGCGAATGTTAGGCGAAAACTTTGGGTGGATACATCCGTCACCAGTCCCAAAAATGCAGCTGAGAGGGGTCTCACAACAGGTATACCGCCACCGGCAAATAAAGGAAAGAGGCTAATAGTAACCCACATCGGGTCAACAGATGGGTTTGTACCCGAAGGCCTCCTCTGTTTCGAGTCGAAAAAAAATACTGCAGACTACCACGACGAAATGAACGGCGATACATTTTTCGATTGGTTTAGAACTTTTGTGCCCATGCTACGAGATGGGGCAGTTATTGTAATGGACAATGCCCCCTACCACAGCGTTAAAATTGAGAAATACCTCAACATGAGTTGGAAGAAAAATGATATCATTTCATAGCTGGTGGGTAAGGGGGAAAAGGTACAGCCCCATTATGTAAAAGCACAATTATTGGATCTCACGCGCAAATATAAGCGTGAAAATAATTATGTTATTGATGAATATGCCAAACTACATGGCCATGAAGTATTACGCCTTCCCCCTTACCATTGCGAACTAAACCCCATCGAATTAGCATGGGCAAGCATTAAAGATTACGTAAGAGCGCGAAATACAAGTTACAAACTATCTGACGTTAAGACACTACTAATTCAAGCCATCGAAAATGTATCGGCCGAGTCGTGGCAGAATTTTATTCGCCATACGATAGAAGAGGAGAATAGGGTACGTCGACTCGACAATATTACAGATAGCATTTTGGATGAAGGTGATGAGTGGGAGCACCCATTCGAATCCGACAGCGATATCGACAGCGAGATAGACAGCAACGTGTAACGACCCGCTAAGAAGACCCAGCACCTTTTTCATTTCGTTTTTATTATTATAATTTATTTTTAGTACAAAATGGTTAATTTAATTTTTATGTTTAATAGAGTTTATAAAAAAAAAAATAATTAGTTTAATTTGTATTATATTTCTTATAATAAATAATTTTCATTAATCGATAATATAGTCTGATTGAATAAGTCGATAAGCGATTAGTCGGTAAGTCGGTCGGTAAGTAGATTATCGATAAATGATCGACAAACGAATGCATACGCGCCAGCGCAACCCCGATGATCTCGCGGTGGGGTGAGATTCTAGAGTAGGGTGATCGCGTAGACTAAGGAGCAGGGGTGCTCGGCCGTCACGTGATGGGGAATTCCAGAAATTCAGAGGAACCCTATAATAAAAAAAACGCTAAGTCAGCAGAATCTGACTATAAATAGAGGCGTTCCACGCAGAGTCAGATGAGATCTTCCCTGGCTTCGGTCAGATGCAGACAATACTCTGGAAGTAGAGGAAAAGCTTGCGCTGAATTGCTTAGGCAACTATAGAGCGCGAGATTAGCTCTATCCTTCTCTTTCAGTAGCGACGTACGAGAGTTCGGATCTGTGGACACCCTACTCATGGTACGCAACGTGTTGAACACGTGCTAATACTAAGCCACACGTTCAAGTGTAAAGAGCTAGCGAGGAGCGGAGCTCCTTGAGCAGGCCTGTATTAGCATAGCTCTGGCTAGACCAGAAACCGATTGCGACCTGTAGGTATAGTCCGCTCGTGTCCGAAGGTATCATACAAGCTACTAGAATATAGTTTTCCAGTACTTAGTGTAACTTGGCAAATTGTACAGAGTATTGGCTGTATTCGAAGATCAAGTCGCGTTATTACTTACTAACCACTAATCATATATTTTCCACTGTATTTCATTATCTAGGGCGTACCTATTATAATTTCTTATTGTATTTCATATTATAGCCGTACCTATTGTTATACTTAATATTATACTTAGAGCAATTATAGTTAATTTACTTACTTGAATAAAAGATAATTTTAGTTTGATACATTAATGTTGGATTTCACTCCTTAACCGCACACCACACGAACCTATAATCCCTATTCTCATTCATACGAGTCGCCTTTTTGGGGAACCGCTCTCCCTATACGTCGGTGCAGTGACGTACCTATCACTGGGTCGTTACAAACGTGTAAATATTGTTTGTAATGTATATATAAGTTATAGTATTAAGTAGTATATAGGTAAGGGGGAAGGCGTAATACTTCATGGCCATACTGCTCCATTAATGGGGCTGTACCTTTTCCCCTTTACCCACCAGCCATGTAATAATTTAATTTTGTAAATATGTAAATATGTAAATATTGTGTACAGTATAGTCTCGTTATAAGCTAAAAAGTTCTGTACGATATTTGCAAAGAAACCATCCCCACCACTGGGGGGTATACCCCTCGAGACGTCGCGAAGCTCGCTCGCCGAGTAGCGTAACATGATCTTGGATCAGATATCGGTGAGGCAACACTAATGCAACAACCTAACTTTGCTATTTTTCAGTTTTTTTTTATAGACCTTTTTCCATGATATTTCTGACATTTTTCTAATTAAAATGATACCAAACACGATATAATTCGAACCATATTTACCATGTAAACTAGTTACAACCAAACGCACGGGACCGGACTTTTGCCTATAACGTGTAGTTCCACTATTGTTTGATGTTAGCCGACTGCTTCGAACGTAGAAAAGGACCTTGAGTGCAAAAGAGGACGGAGCGAAAACAAACCGTTCTATGTCGAAGCAGTCGGCAAATATCAAACAATGGTGGAACTACACGTTATAAGCAAAAGTCCGGTCCCGAGCGTTTTGCTTATAACGAGTCTATACTGTATATATACTCTATATATCAAATGTATGCATAACTGTATATAATGTAAATATGTAAATATGTTAATGTTATGTATATATATATATCAACTGTATGCATAACTGTATATAATGTAAATATGTAAATATTATGTAAATATGTAAATGTTATGTATATATACTGTACATATCAACATTTTTTTAGAAATATTAAACATATATATACAGATTGTACGTTTGCAAACGCACAGTTTTTTATTCACGTATTCTGTCTACTCCACGGTACTATTGTACCACCCCGTATATTGAACTTGCGGTTAGCGAAGTGGGAAGCGAGTAGCGGAGTGGGAGTTACGAGGCTCGCTGAGTTCCCCCACCATCTTCAACCTGCGCGGCTCAGTTATGCTCTCTCGTGAAAACAGGACGAAACTTTTTTTACTACAAACTACAAACGATTCCCTATCACATGGAACAAACGGATTTGATAAATATTAAAAATTGACGAAGTTGGCTGATGGGTATAAACAATCACCTATAACTTTTAAAGTATTCAACTACAAACGAAACTTTTTTCACTACAAACAACTACAAACGATTCTCTATCACATGGAAAAGACGGATTTTAAAAATATTGAAAATTCAGAAGGTTACCTCTTGGGCGGATAAACAATCGGCTGTAACTTTTAAACTGTTCAACTATAAACGAAACTTTTTTCACTACAATCAACTACAAACAATACTCTATCACATGGAAAAGACGGATTTCAAAAATCTTGAAAATTGACGATGTTTCCTCTTACACGGATAAACAATTGCTCATAACTTTTAAACTATTCAACTACAAACGAAACTTCTTCTACTTCAATCAACTACAAACGATTCTCTATCGCATGGAAAAACCGATTTGAAATATCTCAATGTCGGGTGCGGGTCAATTTTTCAATTTTGTTTATTTATTAATTGATCCAACTACAAACGAAACTATTGTTACTACAATCAACTACAAACGATATACTACCATTTTCTGAAAAAAAAAAAGTTAATTTTTTAAAAGTTGGGTGCCAGGTTCACATAGCTGATTGAATTGAGTAACCTCCTCCTTTTCGAAGTCGGTTAAAAAGAAAAATGTATGTACAGTATTGGCCTGAAATAAGCAACTCGCTATCCTTTCTTCTTTGTTTGAAGTCGCCCGCGGAGCGAGTCACTTAATGTCAGAATGAGAAAAGAAATCATCTTCCATCCCTTTTAAAAAAACAAATTCGCATGTTCGCCCAATTACTTTATACAGTAAAACCTGGATAAATTCAACGAAAGAATGCTTGGATAAATGAAACATCGCTATCCCCTCCACTTGGGGGGATCCCCCTAGGCGAACCGAGCCGCTCGACGAGGAAACCGTGTAATATGATCCGACCGTAATATCCGTGTGACTAATACTAATTCAACGATAAAACTTTTTTATTTTTAACTTTTTCTCAATGAAACTGTTACTAATGCATTTGTGAGATTTTTCTGATTAAAATGATACCAAACTCGATATAGGTTGAATTATATTTATAAACAATAGTAATAGAATAAGCAACATAGAATTGAGACCACGACTGAATATAAATGATGTCGGCTGAATACAAAAGATGTGTACGGACACAGAATCGGCATGTTGGCTACAAAGAAAACATGTGTACGGATTCAGAATCGACACCTCGCTTGGATAAATGAAACATTAAATGTCCAGAATCGACTCCTTGCTTGAATAAATGAAACATTAAATGCCCGGAATCGACTCCTTGCTTGAATAAATGAAACATTAAATGCCCAGAATCGACTCCTCGCTAGGATAAATGAAACCTTTGAAACCAAAGCCGACACCGCGACTGGTTTGGATTTCGATCTCTCTTGCTTTTCGCCAACTTATAACATCAATTTTAGCAAGTAATTATAATTGAAACTATATCGTGTTTGGTACCACTTTACTTACAAAAATCTCACCAATGCGCTAGTAAAAGTTTCACTCAAAAAAAGTCAAAAATAAAAAAGTTTTTTGATTCAATTAATATTAGTCACACCGATACGTTTCGGCTCTTTCCTTTGATTTCGGACCTCTCTCTTTCCACCACTGTCTGTCCCTTTCTACGTTCACGCTTAGCTGGTCGTCGCGTGTCATCCGAGCTTCGATACCGTGCTTAGGTAAACGCAACCACTGGGTCCCAATCTTGGTTGAATTTATCCAGGTTTTACTGTAGTGTGCCACTCGGTCCCGATTCGAAAACAAAGTCAAGCCGAATAGCATACCAGCTCGGTAATAAGCAACTGTTCGGTCCCGAGCGAATTGCTTATTTCGAGGCAATACTGTATATAAAAGTGTGAATAAAAAATTCATGTGTAATATAAATATTTCTAAAGAAATTTTATATTCTTCTTTACAATAAAATAATTACAATGACAGGTATAACATTTGCACTATAATTTTTAATTGTAAAAGAACAGATACAATATTTATTAGGTGCTACTGCGTTCTGTTTAAATATATACCTTAATAAAACATTATTCTTTTGGCTTTGGTTTTGGTGGAGCAAAATTAAGCCACAGTGTTCCATTCCATCTGCCCTGAAAGTTTAAGCACTGTTAGAAATCATTTAAATCAAAATTTAAAATTCAAAATTATTTTATAGTCATACGTACAATTGCTATTGTAACAAGTAGTGAAGTAATACCAAGTGCTAATACCAAATTATATTTTCTATTAGCCTTGGTATATGCTTCTTGCCATGAACCTGATGGTACAAGCACTTCATCCATGTGTGGAGGTCTGACATCATGAGGCACATGATATGAACGGGCACCTTCGACAGTAATTTGTTACTAATTAATTTTAACAAACACAAACACATGCACATGGTTAAATTGTTATAAAGAAAGAAAAAGTAAACGGTAATTATCGATATCTCGTCAACCTCGCCGATTTCGCTCATTTTTTAATATATCGTTGAGATTCTGACCAACTTTTTCCTATACATATAACCAACGCTCGGCTTTAATTTTCGAGATATTTGCAAAAGAAATTACTACTATTACAGTGAATTCTGTGAACAACCTACACGTCTGTGGCGGTGAATGCGTCAGTATGGGATGGCTGGTTTCTGTAAACACAGTATCCCATCAAGCAGTATACATAACGGGTGGAACTTCAAAATCCAAGCTAATAATAGTTATCCACGTTATTACTTGGTAATAACTCTTAAAATAATCTTTATAGTATATGTAAATTGTTAATGAAAATATTTATTACACAGTGTCAGAAGCAGCTTCTACTAAAATAGAACAACAGGACACCTGCACACAAATAAAAAGAAGAAGAAGAAGAAGAAGATTGCACACTGGTGGAATTAATTCTGGACACTTTGCATAAAAATATTCTTTATTTCATATTTGTGCAGTAAATGTATATTGTGCTATGCTGAATTGATACCGTAATATTTTCTATAATGTTTTGTAACGTGGTACCACGTGTGCTGAAACTTGGTATACCATGGTTTTTTGGGATAAGCTATCGAATGGTACATTGCGAAGTAAAATCGGCTCGAGGGCACTTTTGACCATCTTATCCTGCTATACCCTTTTCCACAGAATAATGACAGATACCTTTAGTGATTTAGAGGGTGTTAAAATATTTGTGGACGACATATTAGTATATGGAGAAACGAAACAGATTCACAATAGAAATTTATATAAAGTCATGGAAAGGGCCAGGAAAGTTAATCTTAAACTAAACAGATCCAAATGCAAGTTTCTGGTCCTGAAAGTAAGCTTTTCAGATTATGTATTCAGCAAGCAAGGTGCAAAAGTAGACCAAGAAAAGGTTAGAGCCATAATAAATATGCCCTCGACAACCAATGTAAAAGTATTGCAAAAAATTCTAGGCATGATAAACTATTTAGGTCCTTTCAATAAAGATTTGTCAGAAAAAAACCAGCATTTTAAGAAATCTTTTGAAAAAAGACTCAACCTGGCTATGGAATGAAAATCATGAGAAATGTCTGGCGTCTCTCAAAGAGACAGTTACAAAAGCACCAGTTCTAGCACATTATAACCCCAAGATACCCTTAGTTCTATCGGTAGATTCATCAAAGTCGGCAACAGGCGCGGTGATCATGCAAAACCAGTAGGCCAATAGGTAGGCCAATAGCTTACAGTTCAAAAACGCTCACTGTCACTCCAGAGAGGTTATGCGCAGCTAGAAAAAGAGCTGTTTGCAATACAATTTGGGTATGACAAATTTCACCAATATACAGGGTGTCCCAGTTTTTTCCCGCCAAACTTTACCAACATATTCAACAAGCAAAAATAAGACAAAAATGTCATATAAACATAGGCTCTTAAATCAACGCTTATCGACGATAAATCTTATCGAATCTGTCGCGGCGTGTGTATTCACGCCAGTAGCCGGCTGGCTACAGTCTTTCCTCCGCGTGTCCTTCGCACATCGGCCCTCCGGTATGTATATGTGTTAGGGTCACACGCCGCAACAGATTCGATAAGACTCATCACTCATCGTCAATGTCAGGTGAAATTCAAGGTAGTAGTACTCACGGTTTTTCGCGAATATCTCGAAAACTAAGCGAGTCCGACATATATGTACATAGGTCAAAGGAAAAAAGTTGCTTAAAATGTCGAATTTTACAACATATTTCAAAATCATCGAAATCGGAGAGGAATGCATTTTCTACAAGTTCAGCGAAAAAATTTTATTTATATCCTTTCAAAAATAATAATTATTCTGATAAATATATTTAAAAATATATTTAACCCCTTCAAAAATGTAAAGTGGCTCCCTGACTACTCTCAAATTTAAAAATTTCAGATAATTCTAAAACCCCAAAAGTACAGAATTTGAAAATTCCGAAGTGTACAATTTTATCTTACATTAATAGAAATAGATAATTTGCCTAAAATGCGATATGTAATGCAACTAAAAACAAAACATATGGTAAAATGAAACAAAAACCCCAGTTACATCACTGTTAATGGACCTTTAATAATTACAAAACATATTACAATATAAAGTCATAATCTGAAAACAAGTATACAAACAAGTGCTGAACTTTCTTAATACTTTTTCTAAATTTTTTGATTTCATATATTTTTAAAAATAAGGGTTATTATGGCCTCTTCTTCCTTTTATTTAATCCAATCCTTATAAATAGAAGTATTAACCTTTATTGTTCAAAAAACCATTATTATATGAACAGGAACTCCAAGTATCAAAGTTCAAATTTGAAAACAAAAAGACTCTACCTTTCATCTACCTTAAATCCCCTAGCTTAAAGTAAATGAAAGATAAAGAGTCTGTTTTTGTTTTCAAATTTGAACATTGGAGGAACCATAGTAGGATGTCTCGTGTTTAGTCTCCCGATTGGTCCCGTTAAAAAAACATTTTGCATTTTTCATTGTTAACGATTTTTTTGCAATAACCGTAATGCTTGACTTATATTTTTCACCGATTACCGCGAGACGGATGGACCAATCGAATCAAACATTTTGCATCTTGTAAAGTGTATTTCTCGATTGATCTCGCAAAAAAATGTTTGTATTTTTTCATTCCTAACGACTCATATCGCAAAAAACGTAATACTTCATTTATGTCTTCTGGCATTTATGCTGCAGGGAATGTACCGATTGCGATGAAACCTTTCACATTTAGTAGGAGGTATATTCGCGATGATATCACTTGCAAAAATTTATTGAATTTGTTAATAACTACTATTATAGCAAAAAATCTACGCCTTCATGTTACTCTGCAAGGAATGTATCGTTCGCGATGAAATCTTTCATATTTGGTAGGAATTATAGGGTGTCAGGCGACTACCTCGACAGCCGTAGAGGGATGATTGCTAAGGGGATTCTAAACAACTTTTTCCTTTGCCAAATTGTTGGTTAAAGCTTGGTTTGCGAGTTAATAACAAAAAACACCGACCAATCCGAGCGCGGATAGCACGCAGTCCCAGGGACTGCAGTGTCGGGTACGAAAACCGGGCCTGACGTTGGTCGCGAACGAACGGCTTGGCACCCCGTTGGCATAGCACAATAAAAAAACTAAACTGGTAGAACATTTTTAGTCGCTGTTTAGAATGAATATGGAACCTAATCTCTTATTGCCTGTCATAATGTAAAAAAGGAAATTCTAAGGATTTTAAACAACAAATAAAAATGTTTGAAGTGGTATAATTAATAAACGTTTGAATTAAAGGCTACACTAATGATGCAAAATTTGAAAACAATTTAAATGAAACTTACCCATTCGTTTCTAAATTAACTTGCTACGCTGAAAGCAAATAATTCCCACTAGATCACTGTGTCGATTCTGGACATTCGATGAGCAAACACCTCGCCTATTATTCACACCTAAGTGCAATAAATGAGGGGAGTTCACTGGCCCGATCATGAAAATTGCTGTTCTACCGAACGTGTTTCCTCGATTCCCAGTGACAATTATCTGCTTTCAGCATAGTAGGTTAATTTACGAACGAATGCGAAAGTTTCATTTATATTGTTTTCAAATTTTTCATCATTAACGTGGCTTCCAATTCAAACGTTTATTAATTATTCCATTTCAATCATTTTCATTTGTTGTTTAGAATGCTTAGAATTGCATTTTTTACATTATGATAGGCGACAAGAGATTAGGTTCCGTATTCATTTTAAGTAACGACTAAAAATGTTCTACCCGTCCAATTTTTTATTGTGCTATGCCAACGGGGTGCCATGCCGAGCCGTTCGTTTGCGACCAACGTCAGGCCCGGTTTTCATAGCCGACATTGCAGTCCCTGAGCCCGCTCGCTGTACGGGCTCGGATTGGTCGGTGTTTTTTGTTAATAACTAGAAAAACAAGCCTTAACCAACATTTTGGAAAAGGAAAAAGTTGTTTAGAATCACCTTAGCAATCATCCCTCTTCGGCTGTAGAGGTAGTCGCGTGACACTGTATATCCGCGATGACCCCACTTGCAAAAATTTATGGAATTTGTTGTTTATTAACCATTTAAATTTGGTCAATATTTTTTAGGTTTATGGTTATTAGCTAAGTAACAGAAACCCAAAATCACCTTACACTATCCTAAAAATACTACGGGTTCCACTAAAAAGTGTGAAATAAAATAATTTTTAACAAAAAACAAATCCGACTTCGAAATGCACTAAAAAGTGTCAAATAATTTCTATTTCATTTATACCAATATTCCATAGCTATTAATGATATCTACTTAATCGTTAAATAGGATACCAAATACATTTCAAAGTTTTCGGAGGCGGCGCAAAATTAAAAATACTCGAACAAACGATGCTGTCAATAACGATTTGATTGCGGTATGGCAAACTTGGTAATTAATAAGTCGTAAGAGAAAAATTATAGGTCCGGCTGAGAACATTTGTAATTGTAACGATTGTATGAGAAATTAGCAGCCCTCCTGATGTACATGCACTATACTGCAGTTCACAAGCCGCTCACTAGGTCTAGAGAGATTTTTAATAACGTGTGTTATTCCCCTCTACAGCTTGCTTCTTATTATATTTTGCAACCATATAAATGGCGGGCAGAAATATATGACATACGATAATTGATAACCGGTGATGATATTGTAAAGTTTCACGATACAATGAAATTCCTATTATTTGCCGCAAGAAAAAAATGATGTGAACGCAAAGTAAGAAGCAAGCTGTAAAGGGGAATCACACGCACTATTAAAAATCTCCCTAGACCACAGTAGATCACTAGCTGCGCGAGTTAAGTGCGGTCACTCGTGAACTGCAGTATAGTTAATTCGTAATGGGTTTGTTGATTCCCGTTGAATATTATTTACTTGAAATTATCAAATGGGTGATTTATCATAGGTTGCCGACGTCCGAGTTAGGATCTTCTTAGTAGAGGAAAAGTTTTTAATTTTGCGCCGCCTCCGAAAACTTTGAAATGTATTTGATATCCTATTTAACGATTAAGTAGATATCATTAATAGCTATGGAATATTGGTATAAATGAAATAGAAATTATTTGACACTTTTTAGTGCATTTCGAAGTTGGATTTGTTTTTTTGTTAAAAATTATTCAATAATAAACACACATTGGACAGATGAGCATAATAGACTTGA